GTGCCTATATTCCAAGATCCTATCCTAATATTAGTTTCATTAGTTTCATGGACTAACTTCTTTACCCGCATTCGCCCGTAATGTGGGAACCCTTGCTTATTTAACACTACACCCGGGCGCCGGTGTAGCGGCCCTTGCACACTTATCACTGTATTCAGGTTATACAGCGCGTCGCTTCCAGGGGACGCCCTAGCACTTACACAATGATCAAAAGGATTCATGTCATGATTTTTTCGACAAGTTTTACGCTGGCTGTCGACTACCTAACACAACCCTCCACTTTTCTCATCCGGGCTTGGGACCGGCAACGGCAGTGTTAAAAAAAAATAATAATAATTAGATTAGATTAACAAACATGAAAGATGATCATGATTCATTCACAAGAAATGATATTCTATGATGTTTAGCAAGCTATGATTTTCAACATTAACATCTTCGAATAATGAAGAAAACATACATTTAAGTTTTAAAAGATAGATGTCCCGATTCAAAAAAATTATTTTTACTTGATCAAAAAATAAAGAAGAAAATGAATGATAGTTATGATTATTTTTATCGTCAAGTAGATATAGCCTACTATCTCTCTAATCTTCTTCCCCATAATTAGGACGGAAAAACACAGTGACGAACAAAGTATATCACCATCTACATATAACCTTTGAACAAACAAAGAGTTTATAGCAAAATTAGGAACAAGATGTATAATATTGAGAGTGAATGAAGGAAAAATAGTTAAATACACTAGGCTATCAATAGTGGTTAAGAAGTTTGTCAACTACCAACTTTATTATTATTATTATTATTATTATTGTTGTTGTTGTTTTACTTAGATTGCTAGAGCATAGTTGGTAGATTAGAAAGAGCTTGTCATGTCCTTTGTCGGAACTGAGACAATTACCAAGTCTTAGAGAAATTAGCCGAGGCAAAATCTATACATACATATATATATATACATACATATATATATATATATATATATATGTATATATATATATATGTATGTATATATATATATATGTATGTATGTATATATATATGTATGTATATATGTATGTATGTATGTATGTATAAGAACCATAAACTTTATCATTTAAAGCTAAAAAGCATGAATCATTTGACTTTTCAATAGAGGTAAAAAAGTTTCATAGCATATCAACTTCTCCTAAGCAGAGGCCTTCTAATTCTTTGAAATATGCATGTCCTTTTAATTGATTTCATTTGTATACACCGTAGCTCTAAGAGCTTCTTGTAGTTTCCAACACTTTTATTTGGCATGAGTTTCTTCTTACAATTGTTCTACAACAAGTTGTATTTTTGGAAGAACTTTTGTCATTCAATTCTGGTAGATTCAACAGAAATCAATTCTCGACCTTGAATTTTTTTATGGTTGCCATAGCCAACCCTATGATCCATTATTATCACCCTCCTTGCTTCTTCACCACATACATAGAAGCCTTCCATAACAAACAAGATATGATATCTTTGCCCATAAGTTGGATACAAACTTGTCATGTTTTTATATTAAGACCAGCCAAAAACTCCAATCCTTTCTTTTCTACATATTATTTTAAAATTACAACACTATCACCATTTTACCTTGAAATCTTGATAGTAATAAAACTCAAACTACAAAACGTTTTGATACTGGAGTTAATACAAACCACAAAGAAATGCAATATTAATTATTAAATTCAAATGAGTTACAATGAAAACTCTTGAAAACAAAAATTAACGACATAAACACAACAACAGTAGGACATGACAACAAAGGACGCAAAACATACCCCAACTAAGAATAAGGCGAAGGTGGTGGCTGAGTAGCTGGGAGGAGGGGGTAGCTGCGGTTAAGTCCACAAAGGAAGGTTGGTCGGTTGGGTGGCTTAGGAAGGGCTTAGTGTGGGAGAGATGAGACTGTTGGTTACGACAAGAAGAAATAGGAGGAGGGTCGAGTGGCAGTGTTGGACGGCTAGAGGACTTGTAATGGCTGCAGGTGAAGGAAAGCAGGGCAGGGTATTGGGGTTAGCGGCTGAAGGCAGGGCAGGGAATTGAGGCTAGCGGCTAGAAGGAGGGAAGGGGGACTGTGAAGGAGAGTTGAGAAGGATAGATATCCCTGTGGTATTGAGCTACAGTCGAAACATCACCCGGATCCTTGAAGAAGGTCCCCACCTTGGACGAGTTACAATAGAAGAATCTTATCGCCGTCGGATACAACCCTTCCAAGGGGCGATGAATAAAAATTTACTAGAACTTAAAATCATGAGTTTTTAGTAATTTTAATATAATTAATGACAATACTAGTAAATTTATTTGGTTTAGAAGCAAAATATTATCATATTATAAGAATAATAATACTCACCTTGATGACGATGAATTTATTATTTGATTTGTCTTGATGTCGACCTAAAATAAACATGATATAAAATTTAATTAATTTACTATTTTAATATATTATTTGCATTTCAATAGTTAAGTATTAAATTACTTTATGTAATCTCATTTAATTTTCTATTCAATATGTATATGTATATATCTATATATATATATATATATGTATGTATATATATCTATATATATGTATATATATATGTATGTATATATATCTATATGTATATATATATATAATAGATGATAGAATAAAAAGGGGAGGCACCTCCCCTTCGAGCGGCAATCAGGCCCCTTTGGGCAGCAAGCAAAATAGGAAAGGGAGGCACTCTCCTTTGGGCAGCAAGGCAAGCCTGGACCGGTTCAGCCCTTCTACCGCAGGTAGGCCTGCAACAAGTAAGCCCCACATCACCTTCATTGTATTCAAGTATTAAATGACATATAGATTACTAATCTAGTGTTTGGATATTTTTTTTAAATCTCATAAAAGAGAGGATCATCATTGACCTTTAAGTAAATATATCTGACAGCTTCCAAAACTTCATTTGCTAATATGTAGAGTTTATTGACTTCTAATATCAGGGAGTTCTATAACCATGGCATGATCATGAAGTCTTCATCAACCTATAGTGTAAACTTTGATCTTTAGGATTCCAAAGAGAATCAACCAAGGTGACGAAGTTTCTTGTTTCCTTTCAAGAAGGTAGTCACAATCTAGGACCACATTAGATAATTTATTTCAATTAGATGATATGAGTTTTGTAACCCATGGAGTTCTCCATTGTCTGGATTGACTAAGTTTCCACCGCTCTTGATAGTTTGAAATTACTAAAACACATAACATATCGTAGAACTTATCAAATCTACCCTCTTTTGTAGATTATTGAGTCAACGGATTAGTGTGTGTAGCTTTTAAATTCATTTGAACACTTAACATGTCATATGTCGAGCATCACAATTAAGGGATTTGAAATTTATGGCTCAGCCCAAAGTTAGGATGGCCTTAAGAATCTCTTTCTAATGAATTTTCCTTGAAAGACAGGCCTTAAAACAAAATTATGACTTACAATATTTCCCTATAGAAAAGATACCTATTTGAGCTTTCTTTAAAAATGACTGCGAGTTATTGGGATATAGATTTTTGTTTGTCTTTTCATGCAAAGGAAAACGTGCACTAGTTTCACTCAACCAAATTTTTTGACATCTTCACACTTTCATCTTCATTCAAGATACAGGCATAGTAAATTGCATGTTTTATAAAATCCCTATGCTAATGCTGTGTGCTAGGGCATTTCATTAACCAAATGATTCTCACTCTAATTTATCAAAGCAATAGAAGCCATCCCATGTTAACAAAATTTAAATTGCAGGGATAAAGATACCCCTGCTACAAAGTGTTCTAATATTTATCAAAGGGCTCTGAACTCCTACTTGCTTTTAAAAAAATTTAACAATGAAGAAAGGAACTCCTTTAAGAAAAATAAGCCCAAGAAAAAGGATTTATGATTATTTTCAAAACGTTTATTCAACTTTGAATCATTGACAGTCCATATTGGTGCATTACAAGAAAAATTCACAATTACGATGATAATAGATCATAGGTGTCATGTAAATTACTGCATGATATGAAAACACATAATAGTCTCTATACAATAAGTATAGGCATCCATCTAGCATGAGCACATAAAACTAGGCATGCAAAGTGTCAAATTAAAATGGTATATCAGATGTGCAATAAGTCAACAATCAAAGTTGAATAAATTACTAGCAAGTTAACACAAACATGGTTAATAAAGAATAGCATGCCACCAATAGAAAAATGACATATTCCTTGTGCTTACCAAGCTTCTGAGCATCACCAAACCATTTGCTCATTAAATTGGATACCCTCACATTAATGAAAACAGCTCCCGATTCTTTGGCAAGGGCTTTAGCGAGCATTGTCTTCCCTGTACCTGGAGGTCCATACAACAAGACACCCTTTTGTGGGCTAAGAAGCTTCCCATGTGCAAACAATTCGGGTCGTCTCAAAGGAAGAATAACCAGCTCAAACAATGCTGTTTTGATGTTGTCCAATCCTCCAATCAAATCAAACTCAACGTCTATATGATCAGGATTTATAACATCGCAAGCTATAACGTCCTGCAACACAAGGCACATGAAAGTACCAAATTAAAGAAATTTACTTATTATAATTTAACCCCCCTAAGAAATAAAAATGTTATGGTGAGGGTAAGAGTAAAACTAATTAATAGAAGTACGGTTTACATACATACCGCTCAATTCTTATGTGTAGTTAACTTTTAAAAAGTTAAAATAGTGGTTTTTTTTATGTGATATGAAATATTTGGGTGGTTTTAATATAAAAAGTAAAGTTTTAGGTATTAGATATGTAAATACATCGTAATTGGGTGGTATGTATGTAAATGCCCCTTAAGAAAAATAAACATGATGACATGTATCAGATCAAATTTAAGCAATCAACACAAATTTCTTAAGAGTAATATCACAAAGAGAAATAGAAAGCATTTGCCAAAATAATCTCATGAACAAAAGAAGCAAATTTATAATGAGAAATATCAAGCTTAAATGTTCACTGATTCCTAAAAGGCTTCCTACAACATAATACCTTTGATAAAAAAATATCATTTCAAGGTATGAACTTCAGTAACTCTCTAATATTATAAACCAAGATTGATTCACCATAATTAAAACTATAAAGAAGAGAAAGATGGTATATTTTGAAATCATAAAATGTTAGACAACTTTATTATAGCTTCAACAATGATTTTAACTAATCCGAGAGCAATTATGGTCCTTTACAACCAAATTTACGTAATCAATAATGTCTAAGAATCCTTATTCTTATACTAACGTTTCACTCTATACTTTAAGGCTCGTCAATTGATTGCCCTAATGAATCGCTGGCGTGGAAAAGGGGTAACTATCAAAGCAAAGAACCCCTAATCGGTACAAATCGATGCAGCTATAGATGCGAAGCAACAAAAGAACAAAACAAAGCAACAGGAGCGAGCGGAACCTCATATTGATTGGTCTGGATAAGGGGTCGGCCAAGCCGCTTGGCAATCTCCTTCTTCTGCTCAAGGGCCTTCTTGGAGGCGGCGTGGTTGGGATCGAGATGGCGAAGCCCCGCGAAGAGGACAAGACAGCTCAGCGCCGCACTAGCAGCGTACAGCACCAGCTCTTGTATGAATCCCTGAGAATTTCTCATCCCCCTCCACAAAGGAAAAAAGTGGAAGATGAGAGAGAAGAGAAGAGAGAATTGTTTCTAAATTCTGAGACGACGATCACTGACACGAAAAGTAGGGCTAATAGCCGGATTTCTCGTTTATATGGGCTATATATATCACGGACAAATAGTCTCAGTAGGGGTGTAGGGCTGAAAAGCAGTATTTAAGTCTTGGGCTGCCCATCACCCATAAGGGCTCTTTTGGGAGGTGACATATAGGCTGAAATCCACTTCTGCACGATTTCAATCTTTAATTTCGGCTTTTAATATAACTTTGGGAGCATTAACATATGCATGGCACCAATTTTTTATGTATTAATTTTATTTTTTTATACTTATACCTAAAATGTGATAGAGAATTCTTAGGAGAGTGTTGCACGAGAATTTAACACACTCAAATAATAAAAATGATAGATATATAATAACCACAACAAGCCTTTATGTCATTACGTGGGATTAACTACATGAATTATTTTCTTCATTCCAAAAGATTAAGATCGAGTTTTATATAATATGACTAAGGGGCCGTTTAGGGGGGATTATCCTGGTGCGGCGGCATTTTCGGAACGCAACCGTTGTGTTTGAATAACGCGTTGGGGCGGCGTTCTGGGAATGTCGCGACGCGTGTTATTTATTTTATATTACAATCCTGATCGCAGGGAAGGCCTTGCGTTCGGCGTTCGAAGCTGGATTTTAGGTCATGAATTCCTCCCGTGCCCTTGGTTTTCTCTATCGCGCTCTCCCTTGCCTTCTCCCTCACCGATCTTCTCCCTCGCAAACATCACCTCCTGTTGGTTACTCCATTGAGATCTAGTATGCTTTCTGGTTAGGTTTTGCTCGATCTTCTCCTTCCGATCATCGATTGGGTTCTTTTCATTTTTTTCTCAATATTTGGTTTGGATCTCTGTTTTGGTTTTGAGAATATACTTCCTAGACTATTTAGGAATGCATTGCAGAGCAAGGAGTTGGTTATTTCTAGGTGCAAGTTTTGATTTCCAGTGCAAATCGTTTATGTGCAAATAGTTTCTAAGGAAATCGTTCCCGTGCAAATCGTTCCCGTGCAAATAGTTTCTGTACACTATAATGAGGTTTTGGTGGTTCTTAATTTTTCCGGAGTTGCAGCATGTTTCTATGCAAATCGTTTTAGATTTTCTTTAGGGCTTTAGATTTCGAGCATAGATTTTGGTTGTTCCCGTTTCCGTGCACTTCAGAAAAGATTTTTTGTTCTTCCTGTTCCGTTGCAATGCCAATTTGAGTTGGAGCATGTTTCTGTGCAAATCGTAGCTTTCGAGTATGTTTTTGGTTTTCCTGTTACTATGCACTTCGAACAAATGGTTCTTTGGAAGGCTTGGTTCTCCCTGTTACATTGCAGTTAAAGAAAAATTTTGACTGCTTGCAAGATGTTACAAAGAAAACGATGATTTCGATTAATGTGGCTGTTAGATACATCAAAGCAGTAGTTTTTGTCAATGAAAATTAAATTTGCCTTTGGTATTTTTAGATTAATGTGGTTGCTACATACATCAATGCATGAATATTTTGGTGAAGACATAAGTTGATACATTATGGGATTACGGATAATCTTAGCTTTGTTGGAATTGAATTGAAGGACATGTATTAGAATTTGCATATTACACATGTATTTTATATTTGTAGTCCTCTCCAGTGAGAAATATAACTTTGTACGATTAAAATTTTGATAATAAAACATGTTCGATGTCTTACCGTGGATGTAGGTCTTTGACCGAACCACATAAAAAACATGTGTGTTTTTTTTATTCTTAGCACTTTTTTAGCATTTATTTGCACAATTGTTGGGTAATTGAGATAATTTGATTATTATGTGATACTTGCAATTATTCGTATAGTTCAACAATGGGTAAGACATCTGAAGGGTGTCCCTCTGCAATGTGGGATAAAGAAGTCGCAAATATATTTTGTAATCTATGTATAAAAGAAATTGAGCCGGGGAACAGGCCTACAACGTACTTTAATAAGGTGGGCTGGAATAATTTCAGGGTTCTTCTAGAACTCTGTCTCGGGATGTGTTGGCTATAACACTGTACATTCTGGCACAGATTGAGTCAATTCAAGGAGCTATGAAAAGATTTCAGTATTCATCTGAAACAATTAATCATTACTTTTCAAAAGGGATACAGACACTTGTTAGCCTAGCAGCTCAAATAATTAAACCAGAGGATCCATCATTTGCTACCACTCCAGAACAAATTGCCAACGATTCTCGATACATGCCATATTTCAAGGTAACTATCAGTGTTTTTATTTTGTTACATGTTATACTTTATAATAATATTATTACTCTATAATGGACAACTAAACAGAACTGTATTGGTGCGATTGACGGTACACACGTTGATGCCCGAATACCCAACCACGAGAAGGTAACATACATCGGTCGTAGTGGTTCAACAATGCAAAATATCATGGTTGTATGCGACTTCAACGTGTGTTTTACGTTTGTGGTTGCGAGCTGGGAAGCATGACAATCGAATTTTCTCCTTTGCCACGAGGAATAGATCACAGTGTTTCCCTCACCCCCCATCAGGTTAGTTTTGTTTAGCAATATGAATATATGAGATTGTGCAATTTTTTATTAACATTATTTTTCGTACCAGGAAAATATTATCTGGTTGATGCAGGATATCTTATGCAAAGGGTATACCTGAAGCCCTACTCTGACACAAGATATCATCTTCCTGATTTCGAGTGAGCTAGTGGCATAGTTCGTGGCAGAAAGGAAATGTTTAATAAATGTCACTCATCTTTACGCGGGGTAATTGAAAGAACATTTGGAGTTTGGAAGAAGAAGAAGTGTGTCATCTTACGTGATATGTCGTCGTATCCTTTCCAAAAGCAGGTGTACATTGTGGTTGCAACAATGACATTACATAACTTCATCCGAAGACATTCCTCGCAATCAGATACAGACTTCAGTATGGCTGACAATGATGAACTCAATGTTTTCGAGCAACCAACAGGACTTGTGGGGGGCATTAATTACCTGAGGAGGATATAGAATCTAATGATTTTGGAGATCAAGATGCTGAAATTTTGGTTGATATGATTGCTTTAAGGGAGTCTATCACAGATGCTATTTGTGGCTTTTGATCTACCAAGTTTTCTTTTAATAAGATTATAGGTGTATATTCATACGCATTTAATTTTGATTTTTTTAAATACCTTAAGCTGACATTTCATTCTTTTGTTATTTTCACAGTTATACCAACATGACCTCCAGAATATCAGGTACAAACAGAGGGATTTTGTGTTATTGTCGACTACCGTCTCTGTTGCTAACGTTACGTAAGGAGCATAGCTTTGGGAGGCAGTTCTATGGTTGTGTCAAAGGTATTTCAGCTCGTTGTGGTTTCTTCCGGTGGGCTGAAAGTCCCACATATTCACTGTCAGCAGTCATGTGAATATGATGTTTTCTCAGGTTGACAATGCAGTTGAGGACCGAGGTAGCTAGAGTCTTAAGTTAAATATTTTAATATTTCTCCTTATTTTAATATTTCTCCTTATTTTATTTCTCCTTGTTTTTGTACTTGTATTTGTACTTTTTTTAGTTCTCCTGGTACTCGTTAGAATGTGAGAACTGTATGATATCTTTTAGAACATCCCTGTCATTATCATATGTTAGATAAACTACGGTGGCCAAGGGCTGCAGGAGCAAGTGATGTTCACTCGACCTTCGGTGTAGAACACGGGGGTACAACTCCTCTAAGCTTTTGGTCTTCCTCTAGTTCAAGGCCTGGGTTTTCTCTCAAAAGAGGGCTAGGGCTTGTCGGATGCCAAATTGAAATTTGTCGGTTATTTTGAAAATAATTATA